CTGGGTTGCTCCTTATTGCACTCTGTGCCTGGGGAAGGAAGCTGCCGTAGAACCCCGAGCTCTCTGTGAGCCAGAGGGGATTAGGAACAGCTTTGACTGGAAATGAGGGTGTAAAAATCACACCTACAGAGCCCAGCATGATGCTTGGAGTACCTGTGCAAGCCGTATCCATCTCAGTTTCTCCGCGGAAGGGACCTCCTTGGTTGCCCTGCAAGCTCTCTGCCCATGCGGGGGTCTCGGGCTCAGCAAGGAGGGCTCAGCTCCCAGGTTACACTTTAATCTGCTCTGCTTTTGTGCTTTAGCTGTTGTCTGACTTGGCTCCGTGTCACTAACCTTCAGGTGGGGAGAACGCAGGGCTCTTAATTTCCAATCTTGCTTCCAGACCAGAGGGAAGGAGGCAACAGAGCTAGATACTTGTGCTGTGCACGGGACAAATCCTGCACTTATCTTCAAAGTTTCGTGCAGCCTTGAGTGTGAGAACTCATCCCTCTGCCCTTCAGTGATGTCTTGGTTGGTGCAGGCTGTGGCTGGGTGAGAGGAAGCTGCTGCTGAAGTTATTGGGGCCACGTGAATGTGGATGGGGCTTCCTGGTCCCCTTGTCCCCGCTGCCACGGAGGGCTGGGTGGCTGAGCAGTGCCCTGACTTCTCTCTAAACCCATCCCCACCCATTTATTTCACACAGCGGCGTCAGATGATGAACTGCCAGAGCAGGAGAAGGCTTTTATACAGTTCCACGTCACCATGCCAGAGGGACCGTCACTCCCCATCCTGCTGCAGGACCCCGAGGAGAGGAGGAAGCTGGGTAAGCACTTTGGTGGGGGCAGAGCCCCCTGTTCTTGCAGTGACCAGCAGGGATAGGGAAGGGATCTGAGCCCTGGGCTCGGCACTGGGGAGGCCGCCCCTCGCTGAGGGGGTTCAGTTCTGGGCCCCTCACCCCAAAAAGGCCATTGAAGGACTCGAGCGTGGCCAGAGAAGGGCAACGGAGCTGGGGCAGGGTCTGGAGCACAGGTCTGCTGGGGAGCGGCTGGGGGAACTGGGGGGGTTCAGTCTGGAGCAGAGGAGGCTGAGGGGAGACCTCCTGGCCCTCGGCAACTCCCTGCCAGGAGGGGGCAGAGAGGGGGGATGAGTCTCTGGAGCCAAGGCCCCAGCGCCAGGCCCCGAGGGAATGGCCTCAAGCTGCCCAGGGCAGGGTCAGGCTGGCTCTGAGGAAGGATTTCTGTGCAGAAGGGGCTGTTGGGCGTTGGAATGGGCTGCCCAGGGCAGTGGGGGAGTCCCCGGGATCCCTGGAGGGGTTGAAGAGTCGGGCTGAGCCAGCGCTGAGGGGTCTGGGGGAGTTGGGAATGGTCAGGGTGGGGTTCATGGTTGAACCAGAGGATCTTCAAGGTCTTCTCCAACCTTTATGATTCTGGTATTCTGTGAAGTTGAAATTTAGCACCGTGTTGCTTCTGGGGGTTATGAAGAAGAGCTGGGATGACCCAACAGCCACCCAAAGGGCTCTCTTTTACCACGTGGCAGTAGGGATGTCCCAGCTGGGGAGAGGAGAGATGCTGATCCATCTGCAAGCACCTGGGGATAAAAGGGACCCTGGGCCTGCCATCACCTGGGGCCTTGGAGAAGAAAGCTGTGGGCACAGTGATGGTTTAGACAGCAATGGAGGGACCCCTGACTTTTTTATCTACCGGTTATAGCAAGATGTTTGATGTATGAGCTGGGTTGCCAGCTCTTCTCTTCCTCCTCTGCTAGTGGGGAAACCTTTGTGGTCCAAAAGTCTGACCTTCCCGCTTACAAGCCCGGTGGCTACCAGGAGCTTCTCCCTCTTGCAGGTGCCTTTAATTACCTGAAGGAAAACTTCTCCAATGCTCCCAGCCTGGATATGAGCGCCGCCTCCTTGAATATGCTGGTGCGGCTGATGGTCGCCCAGGTCCAGGAGTGTGTCTTTGAGAAGATGACCTTGCTGCGTGCCCAGCATGACTTCCTTGCCCGGCTACAACTGGCCCAGGAGGCGGCAAGGGTGAGCAGCTCGGAGAGGAGAGGACTTGATGGGGCTGTCACCATTGGAGAGGCTTCTTGTGTGGTTGGCAGAACCTCCTCAGGAGAGGACAGCCTGCTGTCGCTGTCTCCTGATGGATGTCCTACACCTCACCCCGTGGCTTAGCAGCTTGTCTCTTGATACCTCATAGGTGGAAGATGTCTACTCACTGGTGCACCAGACGATGACCCAGGCCCACGTGAAGGATTACGTTCCCTTCTCTTGGACCACCATGGTCCACGTCAAGTCAGAGCATTTCAAAGCCCTCTCCCACTACTTCGCTGCCATCGCTCTCTGTGACTGCCCCGGTGAGTGTTACAGCTTGGAGGGAGCTGCCTGCTCAGCCACATGCTGGCGTCACGTGGTAGCCTGGTGTTTGGGAGGGATTGTAAAACCAAAAAAAAAAGGTGAAGGGAGGCATGCCCAGAGCAGGTGGATGCAAAACCTAAAGTGTTTGTGATGCTCTGAGCTGTTGATCTTGCTTACTGACTCAGCGATTCATGCACAGGGCAGATTTCCCCTGTATTTCTGGTTTGCACAGCGCTTGCAGAATCCAAAAAGGTGCTGTAGGGATGTCACCTGCTGTCCCCTTTGGGACTGGGTGGATGAACAGGGGGTCAGCTGCCTGCTGACCACACGTGTGCCAGTGTCCTCGGCTGGGCATCCTCCAGAGGCACCCCGATCCATGTGGTGAGCCAGCTGGGGGCTTCAAGAATAAAAATAAAGCAAAAATCCTACAGGATATCCCTGGACAAACTGGTCTGGGCTACTTGAATTTAATTGCCAGCCTCATGGCCAGCATCCCAGGGTATGTGTGGCTGTGCCAGAGCTGGGCTTACGTGGCTCCAGGGAGCCAGCTGGAGCACGGACGTGGGATGCAACCCATGATCTCCATCTGTGCCATCACTGACACTCATGCAAGGAATTTTGGGTCAAGCAGAGGATCTGGGGGTGGGCTGGCGACGCACGCTGTGACCTGTGGTGCCGACCCATCGCTTGGTGGGGTGGCTGAGGACAGGCTGGGGGACTTTTTGAGGGATGACTGCCAAAAGCAGTGCTGTGACGGCGATAGCTGCCAGACTGTCCCAGCATCCTCCCCCGCTCCGGAGCCTGCCCAGAATCTTGCTGTCGGGCTTGTGCTACGTGGGAGTCGGCAGAAGCAGGATTGAGCAGGGAGAGATGCCGGGGCAGAGACGGGAGAGAGTGGGGTACTGCAGGGCTGGAGTGGCTTAAAGACAGAAACAGCAGAGGATAGTGATGGGGCTGGGTTTGCATGGGGTTACAAGGGACAGGGCAAAACTTTCCCCCAAAATTCTGAGGCTGTTTGCCTCTCTTCATTACCTTAGGTGCTGAGGAAAACACAAATCTGCAGGAGATACCTAATTTGGGTGTTTGGGGATTTATTTTTTTTTTTTTTCACTCCATCCATACCATGCTGTTGAGACCTTGTGCCCGCTTGCTGCCTCTCCCTGCCCACCTCGTTCAGAACAACAAATCTTTTGCTCCCATAACCAGCTGGAAATAAACTCCTTACGCTGCAGTTTAATCCCCAGAGGGGATGCTGGCACCAAGAGAGCTGGCACGGGGAGAGCCAGCCCCGGAGCTGCTGGTTCCCAGCCCTCTGGATGCTGATGCCAGGGTGCTCACCAAGCTTTGGGATCTTCCGTTTGGACCAGCAAGTTCACAAAGCTCCCTGGAACCCTCTGGGTTGCTCCTTATTGCACTCTGTGCCTGGGGAAGGAAGCTGCCGTAGAACCCCGAGCTCCCTGTGAGCCAGAGGGGATTAGGAACAGCTTTGACTGGAAATGAGGGTGTAAAAATCACACCTACAGAGCCCAGCATGATGCTTGGAGTACCTGTGCAAGCCGTATCCATCTCAGTTTCTCCGCGGAAGGGACCTCCTTGGTTGCCCTGCAAGCTCTCTGCCCATGCGGGGGTCTTGGGCTCAGCAAGGAGGGCTCAGCTCCCAGGTTACACTTTAATCTGCTCTGCTTTTGTGCTTTAGCTGTTGTCTGACTTGGCTCCGTGTCACTAACCTTCAGGTGGGGAGAACGCAGGGCTCTTAATTTCCAATCTTGCTTCCAGACCAGAGGGAAGGAGGCAACAGAGCTAGATACTTGTGCTGTGCACGGGACAAATCCTGCACTTATCTTCAAAGTTTCGTGCAGCCTTGAGTGTGAGAACTCATCCCTCTGCCCTTCAGTGATGTCTTGGTTGGTGCAGGCTGTGGCTGGGTGAGAGGAAGCTGCTGCTGAAGTTATTGGGGCCACGTGAATGTGGATGGGGCTTCCTGGTCCCCTTGTCCCCGCTGCCACGGAGGGCTGGGTGGCTGAGCAGTGCCCTGACTTCTCTCTAAACCCATCCCCACCCATTTATTTCACACAGCGGCGTCAGATGATGAACTGCCAGAGCAGGAGAAGGCTTTTATACAGTTCCACGTCACCATGCCAGAGGGACCGTCACTCCCCATCCTGCTGCAGGACCCCGAGGAGAGGAGGAAGCTGGGTAAGCACTTTGGTGGGGGCAGAGCCCCCTGTTCTTGCAGTGACCAGCAGGGATAGGGAAGGGATCTGAGCCCTGGGCTCGGCACTGGGGAGGCCGCCCCTCGCTGAGGGGGTTCAGTTCTGGGCCCCTCACCCCAAAAAGGCCATTGAAGGACTCGAGCGTGGCCAGAGAAGGGCAACGGAGCTGGGGCAGGGTCTGGAGCACAGGTCTGCTGGGGAGCGGCTGGGGGAACTGGGGGGGTTCAGTCTGGAGCAGAGGAGGCTGAGGGGAGACCTCCTGGCCCTCGGCAACTCCCTGCCAGGAGGGGGCAGAGAGGGGGGATGAGTCTCTGGAGCCAAGGCCCCAGCGCCAGGCCCCGAGGGAATGGCCTCAAGCTGCCCAGGGCAGGGTCAGGCTGGCTCTGAGGAAGGATTTCTGTGCAGAAGGGGCTGTTGGGCGTTGGAATGGGCTGCCCAGGGCAGGGGGG